CGTAGCTCTTAAGAGGACGCCACACCCGCATGTGTTGTCTCCGTCTTACAAGTGCGTAGCATAGCAAATTTTACGCTCAGCAGATCACATTTATCTCCGTTAAATTAAAATTTAGAGTGAATTGACCTAGCTACTATAAAAATTAAAGGCAAGATTATTACCGAGGRCATCTCATAGGCATTTTATTATATTTTTTTAAATTTAAGCCGAGTTATGAGTATTTTTAGATGTAAAAATAATTTACAATTTTAAAATAGTCATAACTCAGTTTAAAATTAAAATATAATAAAATATGTCCCTAGGGGACATAATAAAGGGCCTATGAGATGCCCTCGGTAATAATCTTGCCTTTAATTTTTATAATAGGTCAACTCACTCTAAATATTAAATTAACGGAAATAATCGTGATCTGCTGAGCGTAAAATTTTCTATGCTACGCACTTGTACGACGGAGACAACACATGCGGGTGTAGCGTCCTCTTAATAACGAACTGAATAACACGGTTTRGCGTGCCCGACGTCATCACCACCAACCAAGGCCGACAGTTCGAGTAAGATCTGTTCAAATCATCTTCGGCATTCAGCACATTCGCATCACCCTTAAGCCAACAGGATGATAGAACGTTCCAACGCATGCTCACGAATCTCCTCAGCTAGTGGTMAGCCAAACTGACTATCGTAAACTAATCGCGCTGCGCAGCACAGTCAAAGAGGGCATCGAGTTAGTATACGCACCACGTTCAGACTCCTTGGCGAGCCACGACCACCCAAGTTGGTAGCTGCGTTGCGAGACTCCGTGGTACAGTCCCGACTCAACGCACTACGTTCGTGCGTATACTGTGACCTGAGCCGGGTCAGTCATGTTTTTGTCCTGATCGACGCAGTGRGAACATCGCACCAACCACGTTACGAGGACCCACTCGTCGTACTCAAACGCCGGGAGAAGACGTTCAAAGTGCAACGCGACCTGTCTGCTGTGTGGATTTCCATCGATCCACTCAAACCTGCAGCATTCATCGCATGTGAGGATCCGCTTGCCGAACACTGCACGTACGCAGTCAAATCCGTCGACGTCAAGTCAAGTGGTCCTGCTCTTCTTTTTGTGGGCGCCGTATCACCATKTGCCTACATTAACGCAATTGTACAAATCGAATTTCGCTCCGTCCTTTTACTTGTATTCGTTACAGTCGCTCACGACGCTCTTTATCTTTCACTTCCGACCTCGCGCAAGTACGTCTTTTTCGCTCATTCATTWTGTATTAACATTTTTGTCAAGTAACTCGTTTAAGTTTTTATCTTCAAAAAATCCAACCGACCGTGCAAATTTTATTGTWTTTATCGTTACTCACGCACACCTGACGATCGGCGTTCCCAATCTGTACTCGCAATATCGAATATAATATTACTGAAATTCGTTGTTTGTATAATAACAATTATTTCTAAAATCGACACTCACGTGCTCGACAAGGTGCGGCACCAGTATATTTAGCGTTGCTTTTATTTTTTTGTAATTTGTCCTCCAGCCCGCGTGCTGATCTCCTTTTATTCGGAGTCGAACGATAAGTTGCGTAAGTGTAGTCATGTTTTGAATTATTTGAATTACTCTTAGCAGGGGCGCCTTCTACACTTACCAAARAATTTACGATAACGATCGACGAACTTTATCAGCTGATAATCGTAATATAAAATTACAATAAACGAGTGAGAGTAAAAATAAATTATAATGCCGACGCGCGACGTGCGACAAAATAATACGCTGAAAAACAATTTAATTGGTTTTGCGCACATCGTTATGGATATTTTTAGGTATGTTAAATCAAATATAGAAAAAAATCAAATGGATAAGTAAGTACTGTATGGTCTATGATGTACCAAGAAAATTGTTTGTGCCTACGAAACATAATTTCTAGGGCCCGTGAAAAAATTTGGCCCGGGCCCCGCAAAACTACCGTCGGCGTTGTTTACGATATTGCATAACACCTTTGTTCGTGGCGTTAAACATTTATTTAGATTATAAAAAGAAAGCCTTAGTTCAAAAGAATATGAAAAAATCTTACTTTAAACATCAATTCTTCCGCAAAATCCGTGACATACTGACATATGAGGGGATCGTAGCATTAAGTTTTTCGTTTATGTCTGCTTTGTTAGACCTTTGTTAACCCACACATAAAAATTCATTATATTACAACTTTTTATTACAAAGAGGTCCGTATTCCCAATTATTTATAATATCGACATTAATAAAAAWAATGTCTCATGGCGACATGCCTATAAAAAGCTTAACATAATTCACCAGAAAAGATATAGGTCTATCCAAATCTTGTAATATTTTTGCAWTTTGTTCTGCTGAGTTAAAACACAGAACATTTTTTTTTWAAACAAGCGCACGTCATTGTAAAATATCAATGCATTTGTTAGTCGACAGTCAACTCAGTCAACCCAAAATTTTTTTTTTAACTTTTTGAAGGCTACCGAATAACGTGAGCGCAAGATAGCTCTGAGAAAACATGCCGTCGGCCACCAGTGTTGGCAGCACTGTAACAAGTTATCTATCGCGCACATAGCTACAGCTGATCGTCTCTATGAGTAGCAGCTCAGCAGCTGTGGTAACCGTTCGCGGAAGAGGTCTGTCGGTACGTCGATTTCAAGTGGGGATAGAAACCATAATATAATTGAAAAAAAACCAGACATTACCCACACACACGAACGTCCAAGACAAACAACGCGGAAACTATTGTCGAATATAACTGTCGGCGTGCACGTCTCAAAGTAAATACGAAAATCTATTGTCCRACGAGAATTAAACATGTCTTCTATTACTGTGGAAGATGAGTACGACGAGTACAACTACGATCAAGACAAATTGGTCAACAGCGGACACAGTGGTAATATTATTACGATCGAAATGATGTTTTTGATATCTGCACGTTTTTACTGTGTAWTACCTACCTGGTTAACGTGTTTTTTTTTCACTCTACAGGTAAGAACAGGAGCAAGAAAGAGGCCAGCGAACACACCAATCATTTCGATCCCAGCGGTCATTCTAGGAAAATCTCTACTAAATTGCAAAACACTGAAACCAACAAGAAGGATGAGAACTTGAAGCCTCATCCATCGACCAGAAAATGATGAACGACCATGCTTCCTCCCCAAATATCAATGTCTTRCTACGGTTTTACTTATTTTTTTTTCTCTTTATTTTCTAATAAATGTATTGATTGCTCATTAGAAGCCATCGTTAATAATTGATATTAATTTTAAAAACTTATGTTCTGAAACGTATAGTCTACATTCTTTAAACGTAGATTATCTTTTCACTTAATATATATTTTTTTTCTTTTTTTTTTTCATGATATTATTTAAGGATGTTATATTTTTGAAATGTGTATAAGTAATTGTATATGACATCAATGCATTTCAATACATATAAGTTTATTGACATTTTTAGTCTTATTATTTATCTAACCGTGTGYGTGCTAACTGCTAAGACATCACTTGTGAATTATTATAATGTTTTAAGTGAAGTTATCACTACAAATACAWTCTAGATTTTAGTGTAAACAAAACAATAAACCTCAAGGTCAATTGAGAATAACAACTTTCATTTTCTAACTGACAATATTTAATTATACAGCTGGTACTTTGTTAACTAATTATTGTACGTTGAATAACCTTCTATTGAATAACAGTTCAAATTTTGAAAAATATTGTTTATAATTCCTTTAAAACTTAGTCAAAATAAGTAATCTGAGATTATTTAAAGTGAAATGATAATATCTGAATGGGCGAAGCACATTATGTAATCGTCACTATAAAAGAGACTGATGATTAATACTGGTTTATAATGTCAGTTATTAATATGGATTAAAACGGGAAGGAAGTTTATATCAAGTTATAACCAAATTATTTAATAAAACACGAGCAACAAKTCATAGTACATAAAAAGAGTTAAATAACATTTTATTTATGTATTAATTAAAATTAAAAATAGCCAAATCACATAATACATTCCAATGTTCTTAGATCTACATTTGAGAAAATATTTTTTGGTAATTAAAATTTATAAATTGTAAGGTTATTTRTAACATTATTCACTAGATGCTCATTAATCCCATACATTATTATTTAATTTCATATTACAACAAAGAATTATCACAGAGATTTATATATATTTTCAGATTCTTGTTTGTCTTTTTCACATGGTAAAGACCATGCCATCTATTCATATTTTTTCTTAATTTGCTGTTGATCTTGCACATAATTTCACAGTAATATATTTGAAAACTGCTTCAACTCATATGACTGCCTGGCCAGGTAAATAAAGTTTCAAAAGATTGCCATGCTTATAATTTTAAAACATAGCTCAAGATTAAAAGGAGTAGCCACAGAGGTAATAAAAATATAAATCATCTTAATCASTGTTGTTAACAAACACTAAATTTAAAAATTACTTAAAATCTTAAAATTTATAATACTTAATGCTTTAACAGGGTGATCATAAGACACTCAAATAGTTAAGTAAAAGCTCTTAACATGAACAAAAAAAATTATTAAAAAATGTTCCTACACAAAATAAAAATAGAACCATGAGCAACCTAAATTATACTAAACTTGAGTATTCTATCTCCTATTATTTCACAAAACATTTAAAATAAGTAAAATTAAATATGTGAATTTAGTGTACCATATTTTTTATTATATTTAGCAACATGTATTTCAACTATTTCATTGGCCTCCTCATAATACGGGCTTAACAATGATTCCGTTTTGATTTTCCATTTAGATAAATTTGGACGATTGGCATATGGATTGAAACCAGCCATTCCTAAAAAAAAATTAAAGTAAATTAAGCCAAATGTCTTTGACATCTTGTTCTTCAATTGATTTTACTAGTTTGGTCAATTTCACAAATAGCAATAATATCAGAAATGGAAATTTCATTTCCACACAAAAACGTTTTATTTTTCAACCAAACGTTTTCTATTAGATCTAAAGTAATATTCATTTTTTTTTCTAATTGAGCGACTCTCTGTTCATTAACTGGTTTTCCTTTCATAGCTGGCCAAAAAATCTGAAACATATATATTTATTCATTATCAATTAAATACTAGATTWTTATGTTAATTCATACCTTATGTAAATAATATAGAGCACAATCAGCTCTAGTATTTGTATGTTGCCACTCAAGGTACTCATCTACTTGTGCTTGTTTCACAGAGTCTTTAGGGTACCAGTGATCTGCTACATTATAAGTACGACAAATGTAACGCAATATTGCTATGCTATAAAATAAAATAGCATTTAGAATCATATAGTCAAATTCTCTGTTAAATTCAATACCTATCGTTAGTTCATATATTAGATTTATATGAATATAACATTTTGATACCAAATAATACAGTGTGTCAGTTATTTAATCGACTAATTATTGTTGATTTATTCAGTCATGAATGAAAAAAGTTGTATGTAATATGAGCTAGTTTTGAAGAGTGATATTGGAATTTTTTCTGATCCAYTAAAGAGTTAAAATATCGTAAGGTTGTAGACTTGTGGTGTTACTTTTAATGAAAATAAAAATTTAAACACAATAATARAAATATTTTTTGGAAGTATAAAAATTAGTTTTTATTTTTCATTACTAGTGAATAGTGTGATGAATAGTTTTGTGAATAAAATTACAGAAAAAATTAAGGTCATAAATATTAGTAGTTTTAATGTTTGTAATAGCAATACCTAAGCTAAATAAGAAACTATTTTTCATCACATTATGAATATATTGGATCATATCACGAATAAACTATAACTCTCGTATTCAAGAAGATTGAATTAGTCATTATACGATTGTTGTATAGTTATATCATAGACTATATGATTATATTATATAGYGTGTGGTAATATTTTAAACTCTTTTATAGTTGTACATACTTTACTTTAACTGGTGGAATAACTCTGAGATAACTTATACTAATGTAGCGTCCTAGCATACAGGAGGACAAACGACATATGAAGAAGTAGATGGTTCGGGTGAAATAAGTATAACAACTTGACTTGTKATTAATTATYATATATTTATTTGCTTTTGACTTGAACAAAACACTGTTACACTGTTACAGATATGATAGGTAGAAGTATTGTACATCAGATCAGTTATGCCTATTCCTTAAAACAATAAGTTTATTACCTTTCAATAAGAACAAATCCCTTATCATTGATGACTGGTACTTTTTTAAAAGGGTTTATGGCTTCAAACTCGGCTGTGAATTGTTCTCCTATAGCATATAATGATAGAATACATATTAAATAAAATGTTGAAGTAAGTAAGGAACGATTATTTAATAATATGATATTCACACACCTTTCAGTAAATCTATAACCTTTCCTTCGAACGGAATTTCAGCTTTTTTTAAAAACATGTACAATGCTCTGGACGGTTGAGACAATAAGTTGTAATAATATGTTAATYTTGCCATGTTATTTTKGTGTAAATCCACTAAATCCCGACTAGACCGTTTTGAAAAACTCCGTTATTAACGCATTAACGCCCGAAAAACATACAAATCAGTTCAACTTTCGACAAAATGAAAATTATGAAAAGTGGTGGGAAAATCGAAATGATAACTGTGTAAGACATCGGTGAGACACCGATGATTTGGTTCTTATCATAACCTTCAAAAAGATAAAAACATTAAAAACTTCCATATGATTRCAAAATTTTCATTCCTGCTTAGAAATAGGTGTTTAGAATCAAATCATTCGGCATTCGAAAATTTGCTGCTGCGCTACCAATTATTCCATTGTTAGTTTTCCATATTTTTTTTTAACTAGAACGACAAAATGTCACTCAGAGTGTTTTCCCGTAAGTTTTCTGCTGGTAGGCAATTGCGTGCTATTATGGATGAACAGTTCACTGCCGATAAACTTAAGTCCAACACTTCGCCTGGCAAGTTGATTTTTAACTGTTTTTTTTAACTTTACTCTTCTGTTTGCATACCTCCTAGTTTCTGTATATTGTAATAATTTTGTTGTTTTAATTAAATCACAGAAGTCCTCCAAGGTTTAGAATTGTGGAAGAAAGTGACCTTTTTTGTTGGACTACCAGCATGTCTGTTGGCWAGCATTTACTGCATCAACGGACATTTAGAACATGAAAAACACACATCGCGACCAGAATTTGTGCCATATGAACATTTGCGCATCAGAACCCGGGTATGTATCAGCTTGAATATAATACACAGGCCAATTCGCTGACGAATTAATTAAGAACATTATTTCAATCTTAGTAAACCTATTGTTAAAGTAATGAGTAAAAAGACTATTTTGCGAGAGGCCTGTTGAACGTAGATCACAATTATTATACCCGCTGTTGCTTACTGATTGAATTTAAATTAAACTTATAACATTTTATCCAAATCTTTCATGTCAATGTCACAATGTATCTGTAACGCAATTTTCGGTTATTACCTATTTCAATTATTCCCATTCAAGAATTTATAGTCATTTTCAATTTCATCTATATTATTAAATATTAAATTTAAATCATACTAAAAAGTAAAATGTATAGAATGAAATCAAGTTAAGTAAATTAAAAATACATATTACATTTTATTTGTATTTYATGCTTATATAGTCCAAGTTGTTGAGCACTTATAAAGTCTTATTGTACAAAATTACTAGAAGTTCAAAAGATATCTCTAAGGTTTATTTATATTTATAAAGGTAATCAGTAAAAAAACATGACAGATAGTCCAATTTGAAATGTTCAAAAATACAAAATATTCAATTCATGAAATTGTTAAAAAACACATTGTAATTCAAATTCAACAGTTTTGTTTCATAAGATATTTTATTATTTAAAATTTTGTGACTTAAGTAATTTTTATCTTCAGACTTTTTATCTAATAGTAAAAATTGTCGCTAAATCRCACTAATATTATTTGATACTTCTTGTATTTGTACCRATATTCCTTACCCAAAAATTAATTTTATCACTATTAATATTTTTTCAGCGATTCCCGTGGGGTAATGGAGACCAGACTTTGTTCCACAACCCAAAATTGAATGCTACCACTCATGGTTATGAAGTAGATGAATAAATATGAAATTTTAAATGTATTTGTATTACTTATCTGTAGTTATATAATACCAATTTAATAAAGTAAATGCTGGTTCTGTAAAATAAAAAGTTACTCCATTAACTTTATGTATATCTAATGAATAAATGAGACCTTTCTGTAGAATTAATTATTTTGTGTTTTT